CGTCGTCAACAGAAAATATGAGAGAAATTACCTCAATATTTTAGTTACCATAATATTATTTTTTGTAGTCCTTAACGGTATCATTTCTGTTGTGTTTTACCACAGGACGGCATACACTTGAATCTAACAACATGTTCTTCTTCTATCTTCATCTCCTCTTCATCATCTTCATCCTCTTCATCCTCGTCTTGCTCAAGTAATTCTTTTCGAAGCACCTGAACTACTTGCCATTCTCGATAATGATGTTTTCTTTTTGCTTCAAATGCTTTCCTTTTTTCTAAAATGGTGATAAATAAATAGAATGTTTCTTACTTTTTCAATTATATAACGTAATTAGTTTGATTATAATAATTTTCTATTTTCTCTATTTTATGTAATTCATTATTTACCCCTCTCTGCAGGTGTTTCTTTTTCATCTTCATCTTCACTTGATTCTTCAAATATTTTTGGCTTACTGCTACCAGCCAACCTACATACATTAAGAATGTTTATAAATTTTGTCATCAAACAGTACAATTGAAGATAGCAAACTAATAATATTAAAAATTGAAATTTGCTCTCTTTAGTAATATATTTGAATACTATACAATTATATATAAAATTTATACATAAAAGTATAAGGAATAAAGTAAAATTTTATAATCAGTAAACTCACTTGGCTGCAACTGCATTAGAGTCTAATTGATCGAATTCAAATTCACCTTGCAGGCCTTCATAGTTATATGGAGTTTTTGGTTCATCAATTTTCATATGACCATAATCTTTTTCTGCTGGATGCAATGTTGCTATGATGTTCATTTCATCCCATTTTGTTTCTTTAGGTGGTCTATAGTAATGATTATAATAGAATATTATCAGTTTTGTTCAAAGCAACATAATATAATGAATGAAATTATTATTTATATACTTCTTTTAATTCTGATAAAATTTTATTAACTGAAAGAGAGAAATAGAATAAACTCTATACATATACAAGTGTGTAAAACTATTATAACATTATATAATCAAATGAAGTTAAAAATTTGGACTGTAACTATGCTTTATCGGCATTCTTACAATATTTTGTTCTTTCAACGTATTCTTATTGACAACTACAACTTTCATTAGTTGCTG